AAGCGCACACCTGCCGCTAATCCATGGAATGCTTTGTTGATCCGATAGCTACACTTTTTCTGGTAATTTATAATAAAATTAAGACTGGAATTAAGAGTTTCAAGCAATATTATTGTATGTACGTACAAGACGAGAAGTGAGCATAGCGTGAATATTAGGCGCTTGGTATACTGTACCATCCAGCACATAATAGATGGCCAATGGCTCCACCTGTGTACGTCCATTACGACGTTGTTTTCGAATAATATAAAGTTGCTGTGGTAATTGTTTAGCTGCGTTCGGCAGCAGCTCATACTCGACACCTCGAAGATTCTTAAGTTGGTCAAGTCCTAAGCGCTGCATCTTGAGGCGCTCGTTGTTGCACGAGCGATCGTAAAATGGAGAAAGCGCAAAGTAATGCAGCACTGTCTGTGCGTTTAGCGGAAATGACTGTAACCACACAGTATCGCGAAATGACGCGTTGTAGTCGTCTACATGACCCGCAACCTCCATCTGCGATAAAAGTTTGTTATCTGTAATGGATTATTGGACAATAATTGTCAAATTAAAAAAATACAAAAAAAATGACTTCCATTGCTGTGACGTATCGAACGACGCTCGATGGTGAGCTGCGCGCGTTCATGATAGCGCAGCTGATAAAGTATCTGCTCTTTATGCGTGGGCAGATCCCTTGGTACTATTTTGTTAGGAAGCTGCAGTTGTTAGAGCTTTTCTTCTCTTCCCATCTAAAGAAGAAACTGGTTGATTTTTCGCAGTCTGTACGATGAGTTGGTAAAGGTAGTTCAACGCAATCAAGAGGAAGTGGGCCAAAAATTAAGACGGCAACGGTGACTATTTGATAGACTTCTGACGGGCGAATTGGCAATTGACCATGTCATATACTGCTAGACTGCCAAGCAGTGGCAGCTTAAAGAAGGCAATCAAGTGTGTCGAAGCGAGTGAGTTGCTGCTAAGCGAGCAGATCAACGCAGTCTTTTCGCTTCAGGTACAAAAGAGTGAGTGAATCATTGAAAAAAATTGAGATGTACTTCTTCTGACTGAGTTAAAGTGGTGTTGGTGTTTGGACCGTCGTTGATAAGTCCAAGGGAAGTCGTCATTCTGGAATTCAAGGAGCCCAATACAATGGTGGAAGAGGACAAAGCAACGAGTTGTTCTATGATTCACTCACCCGTGTCCAGCTGTGAGGCGCTCAATCTATCACCGACAAGATCAAGGGCAAAGCTAATGCAAATGTGTACGAAGAAACTCATGCGTGCAGTTTTCACCCAAGCAATGGAGCAGTTTACCAGGTAAAGTGGCTAAAGTGCATAAATACTTAATATCAAGATCTGATCTTGCAATTTCTAGTCCATTGTCTGCCACCAAATTGCATATTGCGGTGCTTGCTGAGCGCCAGGCTGCTCGTATCCCTGGTTTTCTTCCTAAACAAAACTTCAAACTTCGACTTCCAAAGAAAAAGCGAGCATACAATATCGTGATAACCGATCGTGTTGACCGTACAAAGATGGATGACCAGTTTGGGGTCAACCAAGACCAATCAAATCGTACGAGCAACGGACAGTCGCAGTCGCCGTTTATTGCACCACCTCACAATTTGGAATTCATGTGGTATGTGCTGGAAAAGCCTGTCCCTGGCTTTTCCGACGTTATCACAACTGATAGCAAACGTCAAAGAAATCTAAGATAGTGTAGAATCAACAGTACAAATACATTTACATCTTCGTGTTGAAAGACAAGAAAAAACATTTTGCAAGTGTAGGAAGGTTTATTTTCTAACGTATTGCAAGTAATTCAATGTCAAAAAAAAGATTGGTGTTAGGTGGGACCAACCCTGGAAACCCTTTGTGACCGTAGGCTTTGTCAGCAGGAATAAACAACTTGGCACGCTCATTCATACATAACCTCTCAACTCCTTCGTCAAGACCAGGAATCACTTGCTCAGCGCCGAGTTTAAACTTTAATGGTTTGTTCCGATCGCGTGACGAATCAAACTTCTTACCGTCTTGCAGCTACAAAAATAGAAATGGATCAATTCTGATTGAGTTTCGATTGCGCCTCAAGACGTACGTAACCCGTGTAGTGCACCACTACAGTCTGACCCAGTTTTGGATAATTGACACCATCGCCTGCAACAAATACTTCGACTTCAATTTCACCATGTTGCTGTAATTTCAATGACAGCTTAACAATATACTCCAACGATTTTTGTCGGTAGATTAACGTACAACGTTGGAGATGACAAAGTCCTTGGCTTCCATCATACTGTCAATTATTGACAACCGACGAACAATATCATTAGAAAGCAAAATCGTTGAAAAGTCGTCACAGAAATAACTCCGCCAATTGTGAGCAAATGGTTTTTTTTGCATTAAACTAATACAAATTTCTTTACTAGTTACTCGTCAGATTTCTGTTTTGTCACTTTTGTCGGCGGCGGTGACGACTTGGCCTTTAATTCTGCCATATTTTTGCCTTTTTTAGCTCCAGGATATCGCACAACGAGCGACACTTGAATAATTCCCATGGTCAGCGCAAATAAATTTGGGCAGATAATCAATGGGTCACCCAGCAGCACACCATATGAAAACCAGATCGAACCACCTACAACGTTCATAACCGACATACCAAACGGTATCCCCGAAGCATCTTTCCGACGTAAGATACCCTTAAGTTGCAGCAATGGCGAAGCGGCTGTAAATACTGATAAAATGTTTGCTGGGATACCAATTAGTAGCTGAGTTTCCCCAGACGGTCGCGTCACTACCTGGTGTAGTAACAATAGAATAACTAACATGGCGGTTGATAACATACGAGTCACTTGTGTACGATCACGTGTGTACTTATAAAAAACCAGCACGTAGTACAATCCGAGTATAACGCCGAGTAATGAACAACCGCCTACCACAGCGTTACTCGCGGTCCAGCCGTACAATGAGTTCACTATATTCTGCACAAAGTAGAAGAAAAATGGGGCAAATGGGAACTGAAGGGTGTTACGTTCTCGGCGGATAATGGCAACTGTGGGCCTAAGATTACAAAGAAATGACGACGTGAGTGTCCATTTAATTGGAAAGTAGAGGGATGACAAGGTATAACTAACCAGGGAGAGAGGGCAAACACAACAGACGAACCTACTGCCACGACAGGTACAGCCTTGACCGCAAGGAAGTACGTCATGTACGCAGCATTGGCTAGAGACTGCGTTGACATATTGCGAAAGATGAGGATTGAACGATTACTTTTTAACTTGCTTAAATGAGCACATATGCGTTCTAGAAAAATATATATCTGAAATTGCAACTTGAGGGTAGCAGTTATTTTTCTGACAAAACGTTTTCTTTACGAACTGTTGGTTATATTTATTAATATTATGCAAATATTAAATTAATGAAATATGGATGTGAAGTATCAAAGCAGTGAGAAATAATTTTGAAACCATTATGTGAGATTTGGAAAATATACTTCGGAGGTGACTTTCTGCGCCAGAACTTAGAAAAAAAATTGTTTATGATTACGATGAGCTTGACAGTTTGGCGCAACGACGATATTCAGCTACAGAATAAAATGGCGAGTTCTGTGCTTTTGACCTAATCGATGGTGTCTATCAACTATTTATGTTAAGGAGTACGATTGCTTATATTTATCAAGCGGGATGGTCTGGTAGTGATCGATTTGTCTTAGGAATGATCTAAGCATCAACCGTTCGGAAATACAGCTGGGTGGAAACACATGGTTTTCCGACGATATATTGGTTACATTCGCGCAGAACGCCAGGAATCGTATGTGGACATCAATATTTAAACTTGGAATTGGTACTTGAGTGTATGCACGTAAATGAGCTTTTGCAAATATAGATAGGTGAGACGCCAGCAAATGAATTAAACTATTTTGGTTTCCTTATATGGGAAGCATGACTCAGATAGATCCCGCGACATTGTAGGCCACTTTCAAAAGATCAAAGCTATGGCTTAGCCTGGTCAACTGTTTGCCCAAGTACAGTGCAGTTACACCGGTATGGCCTTTCACCAATTTTGTGAAGGATCTTGAATGGTGCTGGGGCGCAGTAGAAGAGGCGGCGATAAAATCTATCACAGAGATTGTGTGTGCACTTTTCCGAATCGAGCTTGGTCATTTAGCACGTATGTGACGCTCCGGCCTTTGCTATATATCGTGCATTCCTTGGAGCCGATTCCACGGGGCATGAAAAAATTGTTGCGTTTAAATTTCACCAGCTAAATGCGAAGAAAAGACTAAGTATGTCTTACATGATATGGAGCTATAAGTTTGCCAAACCCAGGTTACACCTGGTCGATTCAGGGCCATTAATATAGATCATGCATCATCACGCACAGCAACATCGTCACCACATCTCTTGCCGAGAAAAGATGGTTATCGTTTTGCCGATTATATCTCCGATGTAAGTTATAAGCGTTGATGAATTACTGAAGTAGCGAATGAGCTTTTGCGTCGTCCAGACTATGAACTTCGTATGTCGCAAAAGAAATGTGTCGCATGGATGATGCGATATGGCCGCTGCACCAGACAGTCATAAAACGTGTCGCGTCAATAAAAGCTCCGAGAAGAGGCGTTTTTGATTTTGGATGTCGTTAGATTGAGGTGATTGGAAGCGCATCGCGATTCCTTGTCTTAGTGGTTGTGGCGTTACCACGCGGACCCGATTGATGCGTTGCGCGTGGTGATTCATCATGATTAGCTTACCCCATCCATATACATGATTTGTTTGCGCCAAATGATACCCCTATAGAAAGTTATCTCGGTCGAAAAGAAACCTACGGCTCATCGAGTACGATGTATGGATAACCCATGATGTACAAATCGGTAAGCGCTTATGTATGCTCAATCCAGACGTGTCATTAAAAAACCTCTCGCTGCATGTGTCGGCTTCTTGGTCATTCGGTCCGTTCCCTGCAGATATCTTTCACTACTTCAATGTTTTTTTTCAATACATGCAATTTATCTCAGGCTTTATATATTGCTTCGGCTATTTCAGAGACTCATCCCGTGATATCGACGTGGTGATAATTGTGCATTGGTTTGCTGCTGCCAGCGACACTAGAAACGGTTGGGGTGCAACCAAGCTATTTTATCGCGTTATATCAGCTTGATTTCTGTCGGGTCGGAAACCGCGCTTTGCTTCAGCATTTCTTTAAACTTTATTTAGGGTAGATTGAAATGTTCGCCGCAAACCGTCCGCGGATCCAAGGTCAGATGGAACGCGAAAACTGCTTTATAAAGGACATCAAGTACTTTGCGTGGATCAATCGGGTGCTGGACCCACGAATCGAGTCTGCTTCAAGCGCAACGTACATGCCCCTTTACGCTAATCACCAGTTATCAATAGTTTGGCTGCATCTCGCATCCCCTTGACACCTTCACGAAGTGGTTCTTGCGTGTGGGTGTCAATCCTGATAGACTTGGTAATGTCAGCATGGCTATTCTTCGTTGCTAGATTGACGAATTTAGAACGTCGGAATCGAGCGTCTTGTGCCAGACGCACGGCGTCATGGCTGAAGGCCAGAATACGCAGGAACAACACAGAAGATTGCGGCAAACGAAACAGCCCTGATTTTGCGGATAATAATCTAATATTACGCGCTGTGAATCTAAAGATACACGGAGTGTTTGCACGTACACACAAAGTTGTGCCCTAGCTACTTGGACCTTACACGGCTGGAGCCAAAAATGTTGAATTATAATTATATTCTTAAGGGGAGTCAAACAACATGGGCTTACTCAAGTCCTATCACGACCGTCCCCAAGAACTATTTTTGACGCGTACTGTTCTGTTGAAAATGATTCAATGTCTCAGCAGCCCGTATTAGCTCGAATATAGGACTTTATTTTGGAAAATTTAAGATGCCTTTATACAGATAACCAAATTGCGCAAATCTGCGGGCGTGTCTGAGAGATGACTGAAATCCACATCGGACGTGAATCAAGGCTACCAGAGAGTGCCGACGAGTCATCACCTCACAAAAGCCAGTCTGTGAATGACGTCCTTCACCAAATCCTCTCGACGAGCAATGGACCGGCTCGTTCACCAAAGATAATTCAGTACTTGCAAGGTTGCTCTCACTCCATGAGCTCATGGATATATTGAGGTTCTACCTCGGTGCGGCATTAACTTGGACTCTTAGGTTTGCAACTTCCTCGGTGCAATGTGCACAGCAACCGCGCGATTGTCGTCAATTTTAAGACAGAAAGTGAAATAAGAGCTGCAACCTCTATGATGATAAAACATGAGATGTTCGAGTACCTGTCTCTAGGACAGCAAGACTAGCTTGATAAGCTTGTATCAACAAATCATCGGTTTTGACAGGATCAGGTGACTGGCAGCCAATGGACCAGATGCGATAATCGCTCGTCTGGGGACGCTCAACAGCTCTGGGAATGTGCTGATTGTAGAACAGATGGCACCCACTGTGATGCCGCTGATGTTGAGCGCCTAGTATTCGAGAGACAGAGTGGAGAAGTTCTCTTCCTTTGGATGGTGCAACTTGAGGTAGTCATTGATTCGGCTATGGTTCCCATAGAGCATTGGCGTGTCATGCTTGCGATCTGAGGCTAGGAGACAGCGCGCAAGAATTCTCACGTACAATATTTCGGTATAAAAGGGCGTTTCTCACATGAAAGATTTGTATCGACAATTTTGGCGGCTGTACGCGCCGCCTACAAGTTGTAATCGGTACGCTGAAAGCTTGTGTCCACCTGTTAAGGAGGACAAAGACTGGTAGACTATGTCCAAAAATTAAGTATCGATATCGTCGCAATGGAGTGAACAGCTCCTCGGGGGTTAGTATCGGTAATTATCGTCATGACAAGTCTTCGGAAGGGTTCGACTCTTACGGAACTTTTTGCATCTGTCATATCTATTTTGAGGAAGCGAAGGGTACCGCAATAGCAGAAAACCACTTCCGTGTCGCGAGGGTCGGATGGGGTACTGGAAGTGGAAGCTCGATATATATAATTCTTAGATGCTGAGCAGCGCGACAAGGCTCGATGATATTTTATCTATGGAAGTACAGAGCAGTTTTGCCTGCGTGAGCTGATAGGTGCAAAGGGCCGATCTCCCACGTAAGGGCGGACGACAAACCTTTTTGAGACACGCCGTACCCAGCTTCTGAAGTTAAGGGGCTCGGATCTATGGTGTCTAGTGGAGGTCGTGGTCAATGGGACCAAGCACCATAAGGATCAATTCTTGCTAAGAGAAGTGAAGGCTCACAGCACAGAGTCAATTTCTCGTGATATCATCTCCTCGGGCTTTGTGGATCCGAGATAAGTTTTAGTTGCCCGGAAGTATCGTGCACTTACGTAGGACTCGCAGCTGTCAAAAAACAGAAGGCAGAACGCGAAGGTATTGAAAATTCAGATAGGAATACATATCCGTGCTTCTTGCTACGACGCTGGTTAAAGTTTTGAACTAATGTCAAACCTTAAGTTGAAGTTCGAAGACTTCGACAGCGTGAAACGCTGTCTTGTCCTAGACATATACCCCATCCTAATTTCATTCTAGGTACGGTGTGGCTTGAACTATACACGCCATATATCGACAGGAAAAGTTAGGTGTCACGCATTTCTCTCCTGGTGAGGTCTGGTGAGGTATAAACCCACCTTTCACCGAAGAAGACGCACGGGCACAAAGCTGCGACGGCTTCTGTACTGAACATCAGATTGATCAAAGTTAGCAACAATAGTTTTGCATGGTACATCGATCAAAGCTTGGGAAACAGAAACTGGAGTGAGCTTCGACTGCAAGATAAGATCGAAAAGAATGACTGCATATCGCGACTCCAACGTGAACCTCTGTTGAGACGGAAAAGGACAGCGATATGCCGAGACCTTTTTGGTTCGTCTCTGGCGGGACGATCAAAAACTACTATGAGCAGTTGTTGGCTCTGCCACATTCAGGGGGGGTAAAAGCGACTGGGTGTCGCAATGTCTCGTGTCAGAGTCAGTGGAGTCAAGAAGCAAAGCTCGGTGAAAAGTTGATGAGCCGGATCTGAAGCATAAAAACAATATTCATAATCGTCGCAATGTGGTGAATATGCTAGGTTCGCACTATCTTGTAACGGACCCACCGTGCGGAGCAGTAAAGCTCTACCGGGATAGTCCTGGGAGCGGAAAGCCCCCCCCCCTTACTATTGTCGCTCATGTACATGCGCACGAAATTTCAAGACGGTGAGATCACC